AGTACACCGGAAGTACTGCGCATGCGCGAGCATGCATGCTTCCGGTGTACTGTGTATGTACACGTGTGCGAGCGCGCGGGGCACCATTTCCCTCCCACCCAACCCTTGGCCCGCGGAAGACTGGGGGACCGGCCCCAGGTAAGGAAAACTTGCCGACCCCTGATTTAAGCAGTGAAAAAGCAGGTTGGTCACATTTGGACCACTTCCACTGCATGCAGCATTTGTGGCTATGGACAACTCAGGTGAGAGACTGTATGGATTAGCAGGGAGATTAAAGGGGTGGACAGAACTTCCCCTTGAATCCCTTGCTGGGAAAAAGGTGGGATATAAATTAAATAAATAAATAGAATTCATATTGTTTGGACAGGTCATTTCAATGAACAATGAAAAATTACAGTAAGACACTACTAGGAGCTGCCCATAGACATCAACGGAAAAAGCCAAGATGTTACACTAGCTGGAAATGGGCACAACCAAAACAGGTCTGGAATTTTCACGGAGTTACTACACTAGGTTTGAGCGTTAGACTCTGACTCTGGAGACCAGGATTCAAATCCCATCTCATGAAAACCCACTGGGTATCCTTGGGCAATGGCAAACTCCCTCTGAAGAAACTTGCCAAGAAAACCCCATGATGAGGTCACCATAAGTTGGAAACAACCTGAAGGCACAACAACAACAACAACAACACACTACTGAAACAGATTACAGACTACCTCCAGCTGCAAATTCAGACTCCAAGTTCTGTGCTACTTGAATAAATTGGGCTAGTTGAAAATATATGTGCTTATTTAGTTAGTTCATGTCTGTTAAGCGAAGAAGCTCAAAAGAGCTCTACCTCAAAATCATAGAGTTGGAAGAGACCACAAGGGCAATCCAGTCCAACCCCCCTGCCCTGCAGGAACTCAGAAAGATAGCTATGGATCTTTGTGCGGACAGGCTTTGTGCAGATATGGATCCAATTTGTGAGGCCCAGAAACCAGTTAACAACAATAGCCTGGCAATCAACGCTGCATCTCCAGTGTATTCGAGATCACTGTGGTATAGCAATAAAAGAGATGAGAGAGATCCAGGTTCTAGTCCCCACTTGAGCCATTCAACTTATTGGGTGATCTTTGGCCAATTGCTCTCTAACCCTGACCTACCTCACAGGGTTGATGAGAGGATAAATTAAGGAGAAGAGGCATGACAGGGGGCCTGGAAGAAAGGTGGGATGTAACTAATAAATAAATGAAAGTAAATTATGGACTCCAATGAAGGAAGCCAGAAAAACTGGAGATTACATACACAGTACAGAAATCAGCAGCTTCTTTGTCCCAACAAGTAAATCCTTGAATTTAGGCTTTTCATAAATGAATGGAGGAGAAAGAGAAGAGAATAATATGATTCTGGTCCATAATCTATCTAAAATTCAGACCCTTATTACACTATTCAAGAATCTGATTGCAAGAAGAAGGTGAGCTGCACAGCAAAAGGAAAAGGTGCTGGATTCCAGGAGGGAATCCAAATGTGTTACCGTAAGTGTGATTTAAATGCTCATGTTCTTCCCTTTCCCAATCAAGGATGAAATGAAGGCACAACCAAGAGTGCACCTCCCATGATGATGCTGTCAAGACACTTGAGCCGGAGACTTATACCCATCAACCACTTAACAGAAAGACTTCCGAAGTGTTGATTTATATAAACCCACTGGGCAGAAAAATAGTGCTGAATACCCTGGCAGTGCAAGACATCAACTCCCTGGATCTCTGTAAAATGTGTGGGAATTTGGAAGCCCGCAAAGGGGCCACTCAGCAGTTTCTACCAACTTAGTTTGCTGTTATGTGTCCTCAAGTCAATGGTAACCCTCTCCTAGGTTTTTCTTGGCCACTTATGCAGAAGTTTATCATTGACTTCTTCTTAGGCTGAGAGAATGTCGCTGACTCGAGGTGACCCAGTGGGTTTCCATGGCTCAGGGATGATTTGAACTCTGGCCTCCCCAAATCCTAGCACAACACTCAAACCATTACACCATGTTGGGTCCCTCTGACAACTTCATTGGAGCCCATTAAAGAGAATGGTATTGTGACACTTGCCAAGCTCATTTGGAAAACATATATATAGAGGGAAAGGGATGCATGGGCAACATGGCTACTAGCATTGATGCCCTTTACTACCAGCCTTGAGGCAGTGTGGTGTAGTGGTTTGAGTGTGGGGCTAGGACTCAGGAGACCAGGGTTGGAATCCCTGCTTGGTCATGGAAATCTACTAAGTGATTTTGGGCAAGTCACACACTCTAAGCTTCAACAGAAGGCAACGATAAGCCCCTCTTTAAAAATCTTGCCAAGAAAACCACATGATAGGTTCACCTTATAATAATAAAATTATTATTATTATTATTATTACCCCGCCCCTCTGAGAACAATCGGGGTGGCTAACAAGTTAAAAACACACTCCATCCCAATCCCATCCCTATCCCCTTAAAAATATTAAATCAGATAAGATTAAAAACCAATAGAATAAAAATACAGCAATTAGCTGCAACAATATTAATAACAAGAGAAAATAAGTCAGAAACAACTTGAAGCCACACAACATTACCAGCCTTACTTTCTTCATTCAACAGCTGAAAGGAGGCAAAGAACTGAATCAAACAATAGACTCTGAATCAAACATATTTAGGTCAACCAACTGTTTCAAGATTTTTCAGATTCATCACTTGGTCTTTTTTAACCAATTTGCTTTGTATTTCATCACCAATGCATCCGCATTTGCCCTTTCTCCACATAACTCAAAGCGGAAAGTTCAGGAATGCCTGGCCTCTTTTTTATTCGTGATATGGAATAGAGACAAAGTCTTGGGGTGTTGGAAAAAAGAAAGTATTTTATTCTTGAAAACAGTTCAACATGTTTCAGCCTGGATTTTTTCTTAATGGCCTTCCTCAAGGGAATATACAACTTTACAATTAAACAGCAGGGATTCTTTTTTAAAAAAGTGTCTCCAAAGTTTATGCATGGAAACTGAGAGCAGACTGGCCAAAAGACATGAAGACGAACCATCATCCATGTATTATCAGATCTGATCCATGCAAATAGTTTGACCAGTTACCAAAATGGTAACACAACCACTCAGCAAAGCATAAAAACTTTCAGTTTAATAGTGCTCATGGACAGAATAAAAGCTAATCTTTCATATGTTTTTTTTTCACCTTCTTCATTACTGAAACTTCATGGAGGCCAAAATCTAAAGTGCTTTTTAAGGTCACAATGAAGAGTTTTGTGACACCTTAAAAACTGACAGGTTTTATATGACATGCCAGACTGCAAAAGAGCTGCAGTGAATAAAGGATGCCACAGGTTTCTATATTATTTTCACTGCAAAAGACTAGCTCCCTTGAAAATCTAGGATCTTGTAAGCACAGGAAATCATTACTCCAGCAACAACACATGCTTTGTACAAGTGATTCTCAGCAGAAATTGAAAAAGTTATTTTTGAACTACAACATCCATGGTGACTGAGGGATTATGGAAAGTAGAAGCTAAAGAGTAACTTTTCCAAGCATTGTATTCAAGCCAAAGCCATAGAAGGGCTTTTCAAAAGTATTTCCCAATGTAATATGGGACTCATTGGTTGTTTCTGAAAGAAAAAAAGTCTATAGTCCCCTTAGGTTCACAACAATGATTTTTAAACAGTTCTCCACACTCAGAGTCAATAAATATGCCCATAAAACTATGCCAAACAGAAGCATCAGCTTGCCAGTCAATCCCTCAATCGGGCATTATGATGAAAGAGGAATTAATCCTCACACTCCCCAGACAACAGCAAGAAAAATATAACATTTTGCACAGATGGTGAAAAATAAAATTCACGTTTGTAAGAGCCCAGGTGACTGGATACTTGAAAATTTTGCAGCCTTGGATATTAGACATGGAAAGAATATGACAAAAGCCAACCTTTCCCATCCTTAGACTTCGTCCTCAGTTTTCACACTGCCGGTGTCAGATTTTGAGACAAAGGCCCTATAAAGTACTGAGCAACACATTCCAGTTCCTTGGTGCCAGTGCCCTGTTTCCATGGGTCTGCCTGTCAGCCTTGGCTACATATCATCCAAAGTCATCATTATTTTCCAAGACCTTAACTAAACCATTCCTTTCATCGTTTAGCACCCCCCACCAAACCTCACCAGTATACCCTTCTTAAACAACAAGAATAGCAAAAGAAGTCAAGTTTCCTTCTGACTTGTTTTGAATTTTGTGGCATCTCCTCTCTGGAGTGCCAGAGGGTTTTTCCAAGTCTGCATCTAATCCATTTCAGAAATTCAACATTCCTGGCATCAATGCACCAAATTAGAGACTCTGGCAGGGTTAAGAAACCAAGGGAATGTTTTGCTGGATAGCCAGCTGTGCAGCCAAGAACAACTTAAGAATGCTGCAGCGATCCTAGCAGGCTCTCGCTTGCTGCTCTCTGCCGGGTGAATACAAAGGCGACAGTTAAATCAAGAACAGAGGCTGCTCCCCAACGAAGCATCTCCTTAACAGCATTTGGTTGGCAAGGTCTGGTGCTCTTCCCAGGGGCTGTTCACCTGAATGAGAAGGAGAGACTAGAAACACTTTATTCCAGTGATGCTATTAGAAAGTGACATGCTGTCTTTGGCAGTGACCTGTGCATATTTGGTAATATGGTCAGAGCAGAAGATGGTGGTGTGGTGTCTGTAGAAGAATGAAATGTGGGTGCCAGAATGGCAAGTTTTCAGCAAAAGAGACCATATGTAAATGGGCCCTGAACCAGAGGATGAAAAAGCTACTTTTTTGGACATCATTTCCCAGAAGCCCTAGTAAGCATGGCCAATGGCCATGTTGCTGGGGAATTCTGGGATTTATCATCCAAAAAAGGTAAGTTTTTCATGTTCTTCCTTGAACATGAGTAGCCTAGAACAAAATCCCAAGATGAAAAACTTTCCCCCCTGTTTGATTTCTAGTAAGAGGGTTGGAAACAGTAATAGGACAATGTTCGCAGTCTGGGGGTGCTCCTTGACTCGTCGCTCCTGATGACGAATCAGGTAAATGCGATGGTCAGGAGCGCCTGTTATCAGCTTCGGCTGATATGCCAGCTGCGCCCTTTTCTGGAAGTAAGGGATCTCGAAACTGTGGTGCATGCGCTGGTAACTTCCCGTCTGGATTTCTGTAATGCGCTCTACATGGGGCTACCCTCGTGCTCGGTCCAGAAACTTTAATTAGTACAAAATATGGCAGCCAGAGGGGTTGCGGGAACATCTAGGAGAGACCACATAACTCCGGTATTAAAGCCCCTCCACTGGCTGCCTATTAGTTTCCGGGCCCAGTAGAAGGTGCTGGTTATTACCTTTAAAGCCCTAAATGGCTTGGGCCCAATTTATCTTCGAGACCGCCTCTTTCCGTATAATCCACCCCACGCACTCCGGTCCTCTGGGAGGAATTTGCTCCAGCCAGTAAAATCTAGGCTGTCTGCAACCTCCCAGAGCGCATTTTTGGTAATTGCGCCCAGATTATGGAATGGCCTGCTGGACGAGATCCATCAGATTACGAGCTTAAGCAGCTTTAAAAAGGCTGTGAAGATGGATCTCTTTCGGCAGGTCTTTCCTGGTTAGATCCCGGCCTCAGGAGCTGCGCATCTCTACCTCTTTCAGTTTTTTGGCTCACCCACTGCTCTTGTTTACTTATAGTCACTCCAATTTACCTCATTTTATTTGATATTTTATGTTATGATTTTTTTAAAAAGGATGTGTAGTTGAATACTTTTTTAATGGGGGAGGGGGGAGTTTTGGAGTTTGTTAGTCTGTATTTCTAGTGTAATTTTAACTGTTGCAAGCTGCCCTGATTGTTTGGCAGAGGAGTGGGGTATAAATAATAATAATAATAATAATAATTATTATTATTATTATTATTATTAGCCAGACTCTAAAAAAAGAAATGAAAACAATAATTTTAAAAAAGAGTGTTTTTTTTTAAAGTCACTAGGTTTAAACCAACCTGGTATAAACCAATCAAACCTGGTTTCTCCCCCACTGGACTGGGAACCATTTTGCCAACATCATGCTGTATGATCTTCAGTTCATACACACTTGAGGGAAAAAGGAATATGAGCTAAATGGACATAAAATGTGAACAGTAACAGTAACAGAGCTCAAAGTATTCAAAATAAGAACAAAATGACTCATTTGTAACATCAGTAATTTATGACGATACTAGCTTTCTAGTTGCACTATGCTAATGATGATCAGCCAACTCAATTTATTCAATTTAGGCCTCATCAGACTGGGGGGCTTCTTTTCAACCCAGAGGCATAATATTATCAAAATGTAATTAGAGAGACAGTATCATCATCAAGTGCTCCCTTTGAACAGGTCACTGTGCTGAAACTGTGCCACTTCTTAAATTAGTTGAAGATGCTATGAACAGGTCACTGTGCTGAAACCAAGAACACTTCCCACATCTGATGAAACAGACATGCATCTAACCTAGTGAACAACACAATAAATCTGCTTTTGAGGTGCTACAATTCTCCCTGATGTTTTATGAACATGGAAGGTATTATAAAGTTCATCTGAACAGCCAACAACTCCCAATCTGTAATGGGAGACCCACTGGCATTCTTGATGGGAGAGGTAGTTTAAAAAGGGGGGGAAAGGAACTTCTGTGAACTCTGGCTCAGGGCTTTTTAAGACTATGGGGGGTTGCAGACTGCCAGGAATAGTGCAAATTGAGTCCA